CCTACAAAATTTGCCACAACTCATTTAGTATTAACATGAAGGCAAGACCCTTAACTATGTTACCTATTAAATAACATACTTACTCTCTTGGTTGTTAATACAGTTTTGAATTTCTACTTTTTAAAAAACTTTTATTTATTTATTGACACAGAGAGAGAGAGAGATAGAGAGAGAGAGCACAAGCAGGGGGAGCGTCAGGCCAGCAGAGGGAAAGGAGAAGCAGGCTCCCTGCTAAGCAGGGCTTATGCGGGGCTCATCCCAGGACCCTGGGATCATGACCTGAGCCAAAGGCAACTGCTCCACCGACTGAGCCACCCAGGCACCCCTGAATTTCTACTTTAACTGCAAAGTCAACTTAAAATTCTCAAAAGTTTTACGTGCTGACATATACACCACTGTCGATTACATTAATTATACTACACCCGGCAAGTTCATTTCGTTTGGTTACAGGTTTCAAGAATAATGAAGAAAACACAGACAAATCTGAGCAGTTAATATTCCTTTCTTGAACACACAAAATGAGAAGTTGGAAGAAAACATAAGGGAAAAACTTCAATGACACTGGACGTGGCAATGATTTCTTGGATATGACACCAAGATACAGGGAGAAAAGCAAAAATAAACTCTACTACATCAAAATTTTAAAACTTCTATGCATCAAAGAATACACTCAACAGTGAAAAGGCAACCTATGGAATGGGAGGAATTATTCAAATATTGCAAACTGTATAACTGAATAGGGATATAGAGAGATAGATATATTCTTTATATATTATTTATATTCTTTATATATAGTTAAATCACAACTCTATAGATGTGTATCTATATGTCAATCCATCTATTCATCTATCCTATTCACAAGTTGTTGAGTTACACATAAATACAATAGGTATATCTCTATCTTTATCTATCTATCCATCCATCCATCCATCTTTATCTGATAAGGACTAACATCCAGAATATATAAAGAACTCCTCAACTCAACAACAAAAAACAAAACAACATGATTTAAAAATGGGCAAAGAGGGCGCCTGGGTGGCTCGGTCGTTAAGCGTCTGCCTTCGGCTCAGGTCATGATCCCAGGGTCTTGGGATCGAGCCCCACGTCAGGCTCCCTGCTCGACAGGAAGCCTGCTTCTCCCTCTTCCATTCCCCCTGCTTGTGTTCCCTCTCTCGCTGTCTTTCTGTCAAATAAATAAATAAAATCTTAAAAAAAATAAAGGGCAAAGGACTTGAATAGACATTTCTTCAAAGAAAATATGCAAATGGCCGACAAGCTTATGAAGAGATGTTTGATATCACGTAAACACTAGGAAAATGAAAGAAAACCACAATATCACCTCACACCTGTCAGGAAGGTTACTATAAAAACAAACAGAAAAAGAGAAAAAACAAGTGTTGGCACAGATGTGGAGAAATGAGAACCCCTGTTCATTCCTGCTGGGAACATAAAGTGGTACAGTCTCTATGGAAAATGGGTATAGCGGTTCCTCAAGAAATTAAAAATAGAATTACCATGTGATCCAGCAATTCCACTTTTGGGTACATATCCAAAAGAATGAAAAACAGTTGTCTCAAAGAGATATTTTTTAAACTCATGTTCATTGCAACATTGTTCACAAAAGTCAAAAGGTAAATGCAACTCAAGTGTCGTATCCATCAGTGGATCAACAGGTAAAATGTGGTATGGACATACTGTGGAATATTATTCAGCCTTAAAGAAGAAGGAAATTCTCTGACACATGCAACAAAATAGATGAACCTTGAGGGCATGCTGCTTAATGAAATAAGCCAGTTCCAAAAAGACCAATACTGCAAGATTCCACTAATATGAGGTATCTAGAGCAGTCAAATTCAGACACAGAAAGTAGAAGGGCGGTTGCCAGGGGGTGGGGGGGAAGAATGGGGAGCTGTAATTTGATGGGCACAGAGTTTCAGTTTTGTAAGATGAACAAGTTCTGGAGGTAGGCTGCTCAGCTATGCGAATGTACTTAACAATACTAAACTGTACACTTAAAAATGGTAAGACAGCAAGTTTTTTAAAGATTTTATTTATTTATTTAGAGAGCTCGAGTGGTGGGGAGATGGGCAGAGAGAATTTCAAGCAGACTTCACACTGAGCGTGAGCCCAACACAGGGCCTGATCTCATGACTGAAATCAAGAGTCGACGCTTAACTGACTGAGCCACTCAGGTGCCCCAAGATGGCAAATTCTATGTTATATGCATTTTACCACAATTAAAAAATTTTTAATTAAAAATGAATTTAAAAATTTTAAAAAGAAGAATTCAGAATAACCTAACACTAGGGTCTTCCCAGTATAAAAGCCCAGTCTAAAAGAAATGCAGTATTTCATAAGGGAGCAGATAAATCGTTACAACTGTTGTTTGCAGAAATGGAAACTATTTGAGCACTTGAATAAAGAGGCAGAAGTACATGAAGGAAATGCCTGCCCTGTAAAAGCCGAATTAACAGTGCAAAACCCACTGGGGTGATAGAGGAAGAAGAGAAAAGGAAAAATAAAGATTCTTTGGCAACAGAACAATGTCTCACAATCTCGATCCTGGATCTGGAAAGTGATTCAAACTGAGACACCAGGACAAACAGCTCCAAAGATTAGATTATAAACCAACTCACTATACTTAAAAGCCCAAACTTGGCCTATCACCAGCCTGACTCCTTTGTTGGCCCATGAACCGACTAGAAGCTGTACTATCTGGGACAGTAGCCGCTCTGTGTCCCAGAGTCTCGAGGAGTCTCTCCAAGCCTCGCAGCTGAAGCTGCAAAAGAAGCACCAGCACTACTTCTAAAATACAGGCTGAGGACCACTAGCTTTCATGGAGGGTTTCCCATGAGATGCTTCGCAAACAGCAATCTTACCTAACCCTAACCACAACCACACACAGGAACCACTTGAGGGAACTGAGGAATACAGGAGCTGGATGTTATGCCCACGGCCACACAGCAGGTATAAAGTATAGCTGAGATATGAAGACCCGCCTCCACAGTCCCTCAGTCCCAGCCGATGCAGAAGACACCAGAGCCAGGAGGCAAAATGATGGGAAGAGCCCAGATCTGGGGGCTAGAGTTTGAACTCATTTCTCCCGTGAACCAGGTGTCTGATGTTAGACAGTCAGGTTACCTTTGGGGGTCTCAGTTCCTTCGATTTTAAAAGAACGATCTTTTCCTTTCATTTCTTTCCTGAGTGGTCAACTCTTACTTCCTCCCTTCCTAGTTTTTTGTCCATTTCTATTCTGAGTTTTAAAATTTCTGGTGGAAAGATAGTTTTTCCTATCTGCAAATGCTTGTTTAAAGACATTCAATTCATGATGGAGTGCTATGCTGCTGATCGTTTTAGCTGAAAATGTTTGGTTCTCACTTGATTTTCTTACTATATTTTTTTGAATGGATGCTCCCTGCCATTCCAAGTCTCATATTGCCTGGACAGCTCCTACGAAGGGGATGAGGTATTTAAATGGTTTACTAGGTCTCTTAGTTACACGGGTAAATGAAGTGCATTTTCTTTAATAAATGGTTTTGGATATGTATTTCCCCACTTATACTGAAGTTTACAGCACACCCTGTTTCCTGATTACGTTGGAGGCATGAGTTATGTGTCTTTTGTTTGCTCTCCTTATGGATCTGTTTAGTATCTGAAGGATGTGTGGAAAGATTTATTTAGGTGACTGCCAACATCCTCCTCACCTCTGAAATGAAATTCTTGGACAGGATTCCAACACTGCAGAATTCTATACCAGTGATTCTGAGAATATGGTTAACCAGAAATCTCCAAAAATGAGAATGGTAAGCTAAACTGCTTTTCAGTATTTGATTAAACATCAACACATATTACACCGTATCTATAAGCAAACTCTGTAGTGCCTTATCGGGAGCCCCAAAGAGAGGATCTGAGGTCCTCAGCAGTGCAAACATTAGGAACCATGCCTTTATGGCCAAACTGCAAATGCCTAACAGCGTAATATATAACATGTTCTCTAGATGAATATGCTTAAGGCTGTCTTTTCCCTGAAAAAGCAAACAAAATCCATATAATCACTATATACAATATCAACCTAAATTTATAGACTATACTGGTTACAGTCACATTGGTGTGAATTTCCAGCAGGTTATCATAGATATTTTTTCATTCCTCTGAGCTAAATGAAATAATAAAAGGAAAAAATATGATTATCATTATTAGTCCATCCATAAAATTGTAAGTTCACTAATTTGTGTTAAACTTATATCTTATGCATACTCTTAAAAAGAAAAATTTTTTTAAAAAGCCCACCCTTATATATTACTTTATTCTCCTTAAAATATAATCTTTAGCACAACTTAGCTCCTTAATAGTTTTTCAAGTAGTTACTTTCCTTCTTATTTTATGAAATAAACTATAATTTCAATGATTTAGAAATTATACCAGTGAGCATGTCGTATTCATTAGAAGAATGAAGAAAGAATAAATATTGCAGAACCTACAGTGGTTGCTTTAAAATTTATTTATTATTTATTTATTTATTTATGAAAGAGAGAAAGATCCCATGCAAAAGTGGTGGAGGGGGGAAGGGGCAGAGGGAGAGAGAAAATCTTAAGCAGGCTCCACACCCAGCGGGGAGCCCAACTTGGGCTTGAGATCATGACCTGAGCTGAAATCAAGAGTCAGATGCTTAACCGACTGAGCTACCCAGGGGCCCCTAAAATAACAGATTTTCTGTGTCAAGATTAGTCTGTAAAACTTTGCATCAAATTTCCCACTGCCAACATACTTCAGGTTAAATTACTATTCAAGATCAGGAGAAAGCATTCCTTTTCCTGTTCATTTAAGTCAATCCATTTAACATTTTTAAAGACAATTGTCACGTTCTTCCCCAAGGCTCAATCACCTATGGCCCTACTTTACGACCCCAGGCCCCACCAATGTCACATTTAACAAGGCAGAACAAGGTCAAGATAACATGGTAAGCAAGAAATCCTCAGGCTCCCAAACGACCACCTTACCTCAGACTCATCTGTAGATTCTTCAAGAGACTCGGTTTCCTACAAAGCATAGAGGGGGAAAATGGTCAGAAGGATGACAAAAGAATAAGATAAGGGAAAAGAGTTACCACATCCCCACCACCAACATCCACCTGCCTTTTCTGGGAACTAATTTGCAACTACAGTTGAAAGGACCCCACACGGCGTGACTCTCATAGGCCTCCCACAACTTTCCACATCTGGCAGGATTGAGATGGTTACTCTGGGGCCACTCAGACCCCCGGCTCCTGCTGACCTCCCTCGAGTGGTCAGCAGGTTAATGAATGGCCCCAGGAACTGTCATGTGAGTATACAGAAGGCTCTTTCCTTCGCTAAAAATGGAAATGGGTCTGGCAAAGTAGGCTTGAAGGGAAGAGGAAACTGCCATCTCAAATTATCTGTAAGCCAATTTTTATACTGAAAAGTCCTTGTGCTATTAATCACTGCGCTATTAATCTGAAGTCAAAATGATTGTCTTGCTTAAACAGCTTTTTACAAAAGAATTCCCCTAGAGTGGTACCTAACAGACATTGTGCAAACAAGCTCTATAATTTACATTCACTCTTTAAACCATTAACCGGAAGACAAATTCTGCCATTTAACACAGTTTCCCCCTTGCTAGACAATGAATCTTGCTGCTCTGGAGAAAACAAAGCAAAAAGGGAAAAATTGACTTGATCCTGCTAATCTCTCACCTGTCCACTGAAAGAGAGAATCTGCTGATGCCACGCATCCTCAAAGAGGTCAGCAAAATGAAGATTTACTTAACGTACTTATAGATATCAATAGCAATAAAAGGTTACAACTAATATGCTGACACTGAATGTAAGCATTTTACAACAATCCATGAGATAAAGAAAGAACAAAAAAATGGGGCAAGGACATTTTAGATGTAACTAATATTTTTCAAGAAAAAAATAAACATTTTAAAGCAAGTTAGATGCATATATTACTCGGTGCAAATTGTATAGCAGGATAAACACAAATCTGGTGTTTGAAAACATTTTAATTTCATTCATGGAAAATTAGGAAGAACCTGGCAGGTGGCAGGCAGCCTATGGAATGGCCTTGTGGACAATACAGTTCCTGCTCTGAAAGGCCATCTGTAAAATGGGGACAAATGTTACCTGTACTTAAGAATTTTATTGTTGTTGTATCATTACCCACGATGAACCCAAGAATCTGCTCTAAATCCCAATGTGGCCCATTTAGTTTGAATGTTCTTCTAAGTATTAGAAAATTCTTATTAATTTGGAGCTACACTCTCTCCACAGTAAGTTTTGTTCTTAGCACCAATAAGACACATAAAAAATCCAATTCTTCTACTACCTGACAGTTCTCCACAGAGTTAATGACACGTATCACGTCTGCCCTTCTAAACTGTTTTTCCTCTGTGCTAACATCCCCAGATCCTAGTTCTCGTCCACTTACCATCCTGAACCTTCTCTTTTGGACACACTCCATTTATTATTAACAGTCACTATTCTGACAGCTTTACTGAACATCTATTACATATATCCCCACAATGCTAAATGCTTTGCACCTAGCATCTTAGAATTTCCTAATGACCCTTGAGGTAAGAACACCGAGGCTTAAAGGCTGAACCTAATGACTTCTGACATCCTTTCTGTCCCTGACTACTCCTGAATATTAAGTTACTAACATCAGCAAAATGAGGCTTTGATAACCATGCCAATGACCTGCACCTAGATTCCTATTCCCCAACTCAAGAACTCTAGAAGGACACTGGATTACTGTTTCCAGAAAAATTCCATTAAACCTAAGGACATTTTTTTTTCTTATCTGAAATCCATTCAAATAGGCACATGCGGGAAAAGGGCAAATGTCCCATTTATGTTCTCCTTTAAAACAAAAGCATAAGTCCCAACCCAGCAATTTCAACCAAAAACTCAAAATCAAATTATAATCTTGCTCTGTACCAAAAAGTACGCAGTGCCAGCATCTGACACCATGAGGCATGCAGCTCTCAGAAAACTGAGCCTTCGGGGAAAACCAGGCTGTCAGAGAAGCTTCCTGTGGCTGCTGGTATCAATGAGAATATTTATTCCAAGACACTCTCAAACTGACCCCCGGCACCAGCACAAATCTCCCAGACGTAGCTGTGGCCTCAAAAAAAAAAAAGAATCACACTTTTGTCCACAATCCTCCCAATGCAATGCATGAGTGCCTTCAGGAATCAGCCTGGCCTGCTATTTCTTAGCTTCAGCCACTCAGTAAGCCCCTCTGCTTAATGTTCTAGAGACTGAGGGGCAAACCAGAAGACAGGAAGTAAATGTCTCAGTGAGGGATCCAAAAGCTAGGCTCAACAGTGAGGAAGGTTACAATTCAGAGTCAGTGGTTTTCAAACATTTTTTAACTTCACACTATCTTTTAAAGAACTTCAAATCCTGGGGGCGCCTGGGTGGCTCATTTGGCTAAGCGACTGCCTTCGGCTTAGGTCATGATCCTGAAATCCCAGATCGAGTCCCGTAACGGGCTCCCTGCTCAGCCGGGAGTCTGTTTCTCCCTCTGACCCTCTCCCATCTCGTGCTCTCTCTCTCTCTCATTCTCTCTCGCAAAGAACCTCAAATCCTGAAAATATAAGTTACAAAACTGGGCTGTTCTCTAAGTGAAATAAACCAGACACATATTGTAGATTCCACTTATATGAGACAGAAAATAGAATAGACTAGGGGCTGGGGAGGGGAGTGATGGGGGGTTAGTTGGACTTAAATGGACTTAATGTTACTGAATCATACACTTAACGATGGTTAAAGTGGTAAATATTATATTTTACCACAATAAAAAAATGCACTATTCTGTTTGAAGCAAACATGATGAGCTAGAAGGCACAGAGTGATGCAAATGTGGAGCTGGACAAAATCTGGGCAACAGCTGAAAGCTAAACTCAACTTCTTTTGCAAACCAATCCCTTAAATTCAATCACATATCCAACAATCCTGGTGCCTTGACGTGTGACCACTTGAATCTATACACTGTTGGGGGGGGGTGCGCAGAATTTGGGGGAGAAATGGAGGCTGGAACCCAAGGGAGGCCAGCCCGATGTCTGCAGGATGAAGAAACAGAGCAGAGACCAGGCCCCAGGAAATCAGCCTGGCTTGGGGATAGACCTGAAACACTCAACTGCAATGCCACCTTCTCTCCTTCCCAACAGAATGTGTGACACAGCTAAGCTTAATGGAAGACAGGGTGAGAGAGATCCCAATGTCGGACACAGGCAGAGATAAGAAGATATATTTATGTGACACATATCTGATAACCCTGTATCATCGACACCTCCATTTCAAAAAGCTCAAAGAAGCTGTGGCCAGTTTGAGGCACTCAGTACTAGGCTGGTTGAGTAGGAAAGATGAAAGAGTACCTGGGGAGTGGACAAGAGTGGGCAGACTCAGGTTACCAAACCCGTTGAGCCCCCCCAGGCTTAGCTACCGTACTCATTGTAGTCTGCAAAGGAAGGAAAACCTGAATGTCTGCTCAGGGTGGAAAAAGGGACCAGCTAGGTGACCTAGTGACCCAGTGCCAAATCTGACTTTTGCATCACAATCACATAAACTCAGTTTGGGGAATTGGCTAATACCCAGGCAAATGCTCCCATCTTCACAGATTCTGAGGCAGTAAGTCTAAATTAGAGCTTAGAATCACAAGCATTTGGTAACAAAAACACTGAGGAAGGAACCAAGTTCCCAGAAGAAACAAAGGCAAGGGTGACTGAACAGCCAAGAATGGGGAGCTGCATGAAACACAGAACCCCAGACCTGAGGAGTGCTCCCTCCCTAAGGTGGTAACATGGGTACTAGAGAGACCACGAATAATCAGCTGGTGACACTGGCCTTCAGCCAGCCAGCCTAGACAAAGAGGAGAGGAAAAACCCATAAGGCAATAAGTGTGTCCAGCTAATTTGTGAGTACAATTTAGTTTCATGATGGTAAAGAGTGGATCCTCTGAAAATTTCTCTGATCCTGTGTTTTAGCAAACTCTGGTTTGGGGCTCTGTTTCTTCTTTAGTTACTAGTGAAGTTGCTTTTAAAAGATCTTGATCAAACTGTAAAAAAAAAAAAAAAAGAGAGAGAGAGAGAGAGAATACTGCATACTTGAGCAAAGCCCAAGTTTGGATAATAAACTGTTGTCCGACAGAAGACACTTTGAGCTGGCCACTTTAACATACTTTATCTCATTTCATACTCACAAGAGTTCTGGAGAGTAAATGCCCCAACTTGCAGGCAAGAGAACTGAGGCAAATATTTGTTGGTCTGACTTTTATTTTACACACAGGGCACAATCACATGGGAGTATACGTGCTCATGATCTGCCATCTGATAATAAGTAAATGCTCTACGATAAGGATAACATTTCCCCAAATTCTAAAATGTAGAGGGAAAATTCAAAAAAGAAATGCTACTCTCTTAAGGAACAGGTGGTCTGACTGATCAAATATTTCAATAGACTAGGTTCCCTGATGGTTGGTTGGAAAGATGAACAGGTACCTGGGGGGATGGCAGAGTACAAAATGTAGGAAATGTAATCTATAATACATTTGAATTAGTTAACTTCCAAAAGTTTCAAGGTAAGGGCACCTGGGGGGCTCAGTCGTTTAGTGTCTGCCTTCGGCTCAGGTCATGATCCCAGGGTCCTGGGATCGAGCCCTGCATCAGGCTCCCTGCTTGGTGGGGAGCCTGCTTCCCCCTCTCCCACTCCCCCTGCTTGTTCCCTCTCTCGCTCTCTCTCTCTCTGTCAAATAAATAAAATCTTAAAAAAAAAAGTTTCAAGTTAAGATAAAACAACACGAATTATACTGCATCTTACTCATAATTTGACATTTTCAATTCAGAAGGCTCTTCTCCCCCTAATGAATTCATTTAAACATTTTATTAAGCACCTAGTACCTGCAAAGCACTAGCCTTCTGAGAGATACAGACATGAGTAAGCTCTGTCCTTATTCTTGAGGACTCAGCAATCTGTAGTAGAGATAAGACAAATACACAAACAACCAGACTTCAAGCAGAATGTTATCCGTAACAGAGGTATGAACAAATACTGTTGGGCATCTGTGATAATGAAGGTCAACTATAAATCATTTTAAAGCTAAGTAAAACTGCTGTTTAGAAGATTTCCAGGCAGAATATAAGGTATTAGCCCTTTCTGTGAACTATAAAATATGTATGTAGTTATTTCTGCAAACTACCTTCAGCATTCTCAGCATAAACAAAGATTTCCCAATGACAAAAAAATGTTCAATCATATCCAAAAAAGTGATTTTCTAGTTTGAGAGCCTATGAACTACTTCACATTATGTTAATTCAGTACAGATCTTACTATTTTGGTTCTTTCTAAAATTAAAGGGGGAAAAAAACAATCACCAAAGAATACAATGCTCAGAAAAGTTAAGAGGAGAGATTTAGCTTTGTCTTGCTCATCATAAAGGGCTGCTTGCTTGTATTTACAGTGCATGATGCCAAGGTAAAAAACTTCCTTTGACCTAACCCGTCATCGTAGCTAATTTTAATACACATCTCAGTTTGTTTGTTTTTTTTAAGATTTTATTTATTTATTTGACAGAGAGAGACATAGCAAGAGAGGGATCACAAGCAGGGGAAGTGGGAGCGGGAGAAGCAGGCTTCCTGCTGAGCAGGGAGCCTGATGCGGGGCTTGATCCCAGGACTCTGGGATCATGACCCGAGTCGAAGGCAGATGCCCAACGACTGAGCCACCCAGGTGCCCCGCACATCTCAGTTCTTAAAGCGTTCTGGGGGGAAAAAATATGTCAAGATTTTCTAAAAGGTTCAAAGTGGCAGAAGAGAAAAATTAGCAAACTTATTTAACTCCAATTTTGTGAACTTTTAGCCTTCAAAAAACTGTATACAAGAGGCCAGATTTTATTTATTTTTTTTTTTAAGATTTTTTTATTTATTCACTCAAGACACAGGGATACAGAGAGACAGAGAGAGAGAGCACGAGCAGGGGGAGAGGCAGAGGAAGAAGCAGGCTCCCCAATGAGCCAGGAGCCGGACATGGGGCTCGATCCCAGGACTCTGGGATCATGACCCGAGCTGAAGGCAGATGCTTAACCATCTGAGCCACCCAGGCTCCGCAAGAGGCCAGATTTTAATGGCTTCCTTACTGTGAAATGCACAAATCAAGCAGGGTGAGAAAAGTCTAACCATTTTTAATCTATAAAGGACTGATACTATAGGTACAATTATTTACTAGTTTTAAAAAATAAACAGGACTTTTGGTGAATGTTTGCTTCTTTCTGCAACTGACAAAATATTGGTCTTTTTGAGAATGATACTGATAGGGGGATGAATGCCTACTCTAACTGTATGCAGACTGTTAAAGTGTCAAAGGCGAAATTACAACTTGAAGGACATTTATTAAGGTGATAAGGGCTCATTCTATTTCATAAAGTAAAAATAATAATAATAAATAAATAATTAGAATTAAGTTCGTAAGTATTTTTTAAAAGATGGAATGGGGTATTCTAGTGAAAAACTGTGAGCTTTGGCAATAGAAAACTGGAGGTTTATTACAGATACAAGCCTGAATAAGTTACTTTAGGTGTCTGAATTTCCATTTGCTTATGTATAAAATTCAATCATTTAACCCATATTGTGACACTATTCTAGGTATCAGGCAAACAGCAGTGAACAAATCCTTGCCATCCTGAAGCTTACATTCTAATGGGGAGAATATACAGAAATGAACACAAAAACATACAGAACAAATAAACAGAAATTTTAAAACGTCCTATGTCAGATGGTGATGAGTATTAAGTGTTAAGAAGGAAAATAATGCAAGAAAGAGGTTTCAAAGAATGATCAAAGAAGATCTCACTGAAAAAGATAACACTTGGACAAAGACATGAAGGAATTGAGGGAGAAAGCCCTATAGATTATCTGGGGTCAAAAAAGGGGTGCAGCATGAGCAAAGGCCCTGAGGTAGAAACATGCCAGCCAGTTGAAGGAACAGTAAGAAAGCCACGTATAGCTGATGCCCAGTGACAGAAGGAAAGCAGAAAAGAGTAGTGGAAAATGAAGTCAGAAAAGGGAGAAGGAGCATCTGGGGCAAGGTCCTATAGGACAACTCAGGTATTCTAAAGGAGTCTGGCTTTTCCTCAGAGCACAACAGGAAGCCATTAGAAGGTCTGGAACATAGGAGGTGCCTTGTCCTGACTTATATATCAGAATAAACATTTACCATACAGAATTCTTTTGTGAGGACCAAATGTGACGTGAAGGGTTTACACTGAAAAGTGCTATAAAAATTCAGAGCATTCTTATTATATCACTAACATTCTATGTGTGCTTTTTACATCAGACAGCTTTGCCAAACTTCTCTTCTACACAAAACAGTAGTAAACAAATACTAAGAGCAACTTTCTCCATTTCTACTACCTTGTATCTAAGATCTTGGCTTTTTGCTTTTAAATCAAACTACAAATAAGCTATATTTCAACCTGAAAGACCAACAGTGTGAAAACCAATCTTACACTATCATCAAACCTAGCAATGACTCATGAAATTACATGTGCTTAAGGAGCATTTTTCCTTTGAAATGACTGGATTGGAAAAGGGAGGCTTCAGTGGTTGGAAGCAACACTCCTGTTATCACAATGACCACCCAAACCAAATTTCTACCTTATTTCTTAATTACTAATATATATCAAATGTACCGAGGGCAAATTTTCATTATGTAAATTAAGTATGTCACAAATGGTATAAATTATCAACTAAACTTCTTTTGTTATGGTACAGCTCATCATAAATCACCTTTTAGAGGCAATTATGGAAACTGATGACCCTGTTAATTTGTAAGGAAAAACACTGACAACCTGAAATGACCCTGGAAATGGAAAAATAAGGTATTTCCTCACATTCTGGCCTTTGTCTGCACTTTTCTGTCTTCTTGATACCATTTTTTCGTTTCAACAAACTGTATGCAGTTTGACTACCACTATTGCCTGTAGGAAAATAACTCTAACGCCATCACTAACAACTTCTCTAAACTCAAGCGCCTCATTGCCAAGTGTGGACTGGCTTTGCCATCTGATGTTCTGCCTGCCAGCAACAAATATTCTCATGTAACTTTTACTGACCCCAACTTTTACTAAGCACTTTAACTGTTGTACTAACTTATTCTACATTAAACCAGTCTCTGAGAACGTTACTCTTATATCTCCAACTTATATTTAAAGTTAAATAGCCCAATGTCACATATTAAGAAAGAGAACCAGCACTGGAGCCTAGATATTTTTGCTCCAGAACAAATGCACTTAACCAGTGCTGCACACCATAGGTGACTTAGCTTTGTACCTAAAAACAATAGGTACGAAACAAAACTCATCTACTCTCTCCTAGCCAGCCCTTTTACAAATCAACTCTAACTGCCTTAACTTCGACTGGAAAGGAACTTAAATTTCAGTCACCTGGCCTCAAAATTCAAGCCATCGCTTACGCTTCCCCAAGGGCAGTCAGTCCCTGGGACAGCCAGGCTGCCTTCAAGCCAAAATTTCACGGAGGACAGGCCACAAAGGCGGCGGCAAAGGAAGGCCGCCTCACGAAACCCGGCGGTGTGTCGGAGCGCTCCCCCCGCCCCCGGCCCACGGTATCAGCCATCCCACCCGCCTCTCTGCTCCCGGAAATGGACTTTCGCCAGCCGCGCGCCCGGCTGTGGGCCTCCCTCGCCCTCCCACAGCTCCGCACCCCCGCAAGCTCCGCTCCAAGCCCCGACGGCCTCACCCTCACCGCTCACCCCCTCGCCTAGCAGTTTCAGCCTTTACCTGCTCCTCTGCTTCCGCCATGGTGCCGCCGGGGAGTCACATGACAGACCCGGAAATGAGAAACAGAGACACTGGGGCCCAGGGGCTGCTGGGAAATGTAGTTTCAGCAACATCTGACCCCCGCGTCTTTTCCAGCTGGTGAGCCTGTTGGGCCTCATCTCTCTGCTTCTGACTCTCCAAGCTCAGTGGAGCTGTGCTCTGTGGAATTTGAACAGAACCATTGTTAATTCCATGATTTATTTTATTGTTGTTCTTACTGGTCCCATGATTGTGATATTAGTTACTAATATTTATTATATATCAAGCCCTGGGGTTATAGTTTTGCATGAATTTTCTCATTTAATCCTTCCAGCAATCCCTAGTGTTTTCCCCATTTATAGAGGAGAACACCATGGCTCAGAGGTCACACAGCTTGTGAGAGGCAGAATACAATTCGAATTTGGCAGTGTCTAATGCCAAAGACTCTGTGATTAGCAAATGCTGTTTAGTCTACAATTGTTCTTGTCCTTTTTAAAAAATATATTAAGTGAATATAAACATAAGTCAGTCTTTGCAGTGGAGAACCAGATAAAAATTTATACTTCAAAAATATTTGGTTAGCTTGTACTGCTTGCTGCTTTAAATACCACAAATTGTCATTTGTGGTGGGTGCCCCGTGCCCCTTTTGCCTCCTGTGACCTAGAAGAAAATCATAAAAGGAGGTCTCTAACTGTAGCCTGGTCAACCCGTGATTCCCGTGGCCTCATGTGAGACACTTGTGTTTTCCCCAGGGTTTAAATGGCCTTAGCTCAACCTTCTTCCCCTAACCCTTGCTGGGGTCCCTCTCCCAGTCTGCTGATCCCTCAGTCACAAAGGAATGATGAAAGACCAACTCAAGGCCTTTATGTATCCATAGACAAGCACCAAGTACCCTAAGTTTTGACCTTTCCAATCTGAGAGTTTCTAAGATCTCCTGCAATACAGCTCGAACCCAAACATTGCTCTCAAGTTCCATTACTTCAAGTCCCACAAGAACACTTATACAGACCAAAAAGATGTGGAAGCCCTTAGTTCAGTCTCCACAGGAAAAAGAAATAAGCCTAGCCCTTCTACTTTTCTGATTTTTCTAACAAACTGTAATTTTGTCTTTTTCCAGTATGATCTGGACTCACCCATAAAACTCTAGTGGGTCTGATTGAAGGTATAGCCAAAGTTTACTGCAGATTTTCCTCTGCTCTCTCAAACCTCAGAGACTCTGGATTCCCCAAGTCTGTTCCCATTCAGTGTACTGTCTCGACTATAATAAAATACGAGCATTGGATCTTCTGTTTCCTTTTGGACAGACTGGAAAGTGAAGAGACATGGATACAGAATGGTGAACTAGCAGAAGAAACCCACTACAGGCTAGCAGGTTCACACTGTGCCGTGGGCAAGATGAAATTCACATGTGACCTCAGAGCCCCAAGTTTTCTCCTGTGAAATGAGAGGTTTTGGCTACCTTGTCTAAGAGATCCTCTCACCTCCTGCTACTGAAAGTGTGGTCCATAGACCAGCAGCATCAATATCACCTGGGAGCTTGTTAGAACTGAAGAGTTTAGGGCCCCTCCAAAGATCTAGAGGCAAAAGCTGGGCTTTAATAATATCCCTAGGGGAAATATATGTACATTAGAGTCTGAGAAATGCTCAGCCCAACAGTCTTTCATTGTATGGCAAATCACCTGCTTTTTCTTGCCCATCATCTGTCCATCCTCCTACCTTTAAACTGTGGAGGTAAAGGTAAGAGTAAACATTTTTCTCAAACGCACATGGAAAATTCATCAAGATAGACCACATTCTTGGCCATAAGACACACCTTAACAGATTCAAAAGATCAGAAATCATAAAACTTCTCCTCACAGACCACAATGGGATTAAACTAGAAATCAATAGCAGAAAGATGACTGGAAAATCATAAATACATAGAGCTTAAACAAGGCACTTCTAAATAGCACATGGGTCAAAAAATAATTCTTGAGAAATATTTTTAAATGTTTTGAACTAAATAAAAATGAAAACACAACTTATCAAAATTTGTGGCATGCATTAAAAGCAGTGTTTAGAGGGGAATTATAGCATTGAATGCATACATTTAAAAAAAAGAGAGAGATCTAATATTAATAACCTAAGTTTCCATATTAGGGAACCAGCAAATTAAATCAACGTAACCAGAAGAAAAATAGTAAGAATTAGAGCAGATCAATGAAATTGAAAACAAAAAATCAATTGAGAAAATCAACAAAATCAAAAGCTGGTTCTATGAAAATATCAGCAAAATCAATAAAGCAGGCTAATTAAGAAAAAGAGAGGACATAAATTACTAATCTCAGAAATGAAAGAGGGGACATCAAATACAGATTTTGTGTACTTTGGAAGGATAATAAAGGAATACTGTAAATAGCTTTACGCCCACAAATTTGATAATCTAGATGAAATGGACCAGTTCCTTGAAAGATACAATCTGCCAAAAGCACCCAAGAGGAAATAGACAATGTTTTAGCTGTATCTATTAAAAAAATCAAATCAGGGGCATCTGAGTGTCTCAGTCCATTAAAGGTACGACTCTTGATTTCAGCTCAGGTCATGATCTCAGGGTCATGAGGTCCAGCCTCACCACTGGGCTCTGAGCTGGGTGTGGAGCCTGCTTAGGATTCTCTCTCTCCCCCTCCCCTTGCCCTTCCCCCATCTCTCTCAAAAAAATAAAATAAAATAAAATCAATAATTAAAAGCTTTTCAAAAGGCCTAGATGTGTTCACTGGTGAATTATATCAAAAATTTACAGGAGAAACTATGTCAATTCTCTACAGTCTCTTTCAGAGGATAAAAGCAGAGGGAATACTTCCTAACTCATTCTATGAGGCCAGCATTGCTCTAAAACCAAATGAGACAAAAACATTACAAGAAAACTACAGACCAATATCTCTCATGAACACAAATTCAAAAATCCTCCACAAAATATTAACAAATTGAATAAAAAATGTATAAAAACCTTATAGACCATGACCAAGTGGGATTTATCTCAGCTTCGCAAGACTGGTTAATATTCAAGAATCAGTTAATGTAATCCATCAAATCAACAGACTAAAAAAGAAAAAATCACATGATCATATGAATAGATACAGAAATACCCACTCATGATGAAAAGTCTTGGTAAGCTAGAAATAGAGGGAACCTCCTCAAGTTGATAAAGACTATATACAAAAAACCTGCAGCTAACATAATACTCAACAAGGAGAAACTCAAAGCTTTCCCACTAAGACCAAGTGCAAGACAAAGATATCCCCTCTCAACACTTTGTTTCAACACCATTTTGGAAGTCCTCGCTAATGCAACAAGGCAAAAAAAAAAAAAAAAAAAGGAAATAAAAATATACAGATTGAGAAGGAAGACATAAAACTGTCTTTGTTCACAGTTGACATGATGGTCTATGTAGAAAATTTTAAAGACTTGATCAAAACCTTCTGGAACTATTAAGTGATTATGGCAAGTTTGCAGGACACAAAGTTAGTATACAAACGCTGATTGCTTCCCTATATACCAGCAATGAACAAGTAGAATTTGACATGAAAAACACAATACAGTTTACATTAGCGTCCCCCAAATTGAAATACTTTTATATAAATATAACAAAATATGTACAAGATTTATATGAGGAAACTATAAAATGCTGATGAATAAAATAAAAAGAACCAAATAAGTGAAGAGACATTCCATGTTCATATGTTGGAAGACTCAATGTTGTCAAGATGTCACTTCTTCCCAACTTGGTCTATAGCTTCCAGGCAATTCCAATAAAAATTCCAGCTAGTTATTTCATAGATATCAACAATCTGATTCTAAAGTTTATAGAAGGGGGAGGCAAAACACCCAGAATAGCCAATACGATATTGAAGGAGAAGAGCAAAGTTGGAAAACTGATGGTACACAACTTCAAGACTTATTATAAAACTATAGTAATCAAAACAAGGTGGAATTGGTGAAAGAATAGACAAATAGATCAACGGGACAAATAGAGAACCCAGAAATAGACCCACATCAATATAGTCAACCAATCTTTGACAAAAGAACAAAGGCAATACAATGGAGCAAAGATAGTCTCTTCAACAAATGGTGCTGGAACAACTAGGCAGATATCCACATGCAAAAAAAAAAAAAAAAAAAGGAATCTAGACACAGACCTTACACACCTCACAAAAATTAACTCAAAATGGATCATAGACCTCAATGTAAAATGCAAAAATATAAAACTCCTAGGAGATGATATAGGAGAAAACCTGGATGACTTTGGGTATGGTAATGCCTTTTTGATAGAACACCAAAGACATGATCCATGAAAGAAATTGAGGGTAAGTTAGATTTTATTAAAACGTAAAACTTACGCTCTTGAAAAGACAATGTCAAGAGAATGAGAAGACAAAACACAGATTGGGGGAAAATACTTGCCAAAGACTTACCTGATAAAGGACTCTTACCCAAAATATGCAAAGAACTCTTCAAACTCAACAGTTAGAAAACAAAACAACAACAACAATTAAAACATGGGCCAAAGACCTTAACAGACACCTCACCAAAAAAGATATACAAATAGCAAACAAGCATATGAAAAGATGCTCCACATCACATGTCATCAGGGAAATGCAAATTAAAGCAACAATGACATACACCATTACACACCTATTAGAATGTCCAAAATCTGGAACACTGACAATACCAAATGCGGGCAAGGATGTGCCATATATTGCTGATGGGAATACTAAAGGGTACAAGCCACTTTAGAAGACAGTTTGTCGGTTTTTTACCAAACAAAACGTACTCTTACTATACAACCTAGGAATCGTGCTCCTTTGTATTTATCCAAAAAAGTTGAAAACACATGTTCACACAAAAACCTGCATACAGACCTGTTTATAGCAGCTTTATTTACAATTGGCAAAACTTGGAGGCAAACAAGATGTCTTTCAGTAGATGAATAAATAAATAAACTGTATGCCCAGTTTATTTACTGTATATAAATGAAATGTATTCTAGACAACAGGAT